CCACCAGCCACAGAACTCTGTCCCCACTCCCCGGTCCCCAGCCCCCGGTCCCCACTCCCCGAACTCTGTCCCCACTCCCTTGTTCCCAGCTACAGAATTCTGTCCCTATTGCTGTCCCCACTGGCACCCTGTCCCCAGCTGCAGAACCCTGTCCTCTGCCCTCCCAGCACCCTGTTCCCTCTTCCCTACCCCCCGCCGCAGAACTCTGTCCCCACAAAATGTATAATTATAAATGCTTCATTTTAGATTTAAATAGCATGAATAAAAAAAAGACCATTTATTTCATAACTATAAACACGTGATTTTAATTTTATACATCGCATAATTTAAAAATAAACTGTTCATCAGAGTGTTTAAGTAAGGGCTGGGGATAGCAAGTGATGGACAGGAGAAGAATAGAGAGGGCGGGGCTTCAAGGAAGGGGCGGGGCGATAGCTCTTCGCCTGTTCAGAGATTTAAAAAGTGATCTTGGGTGTAAAAAGGTTGGAGAGCACTGCCTTAGGCTATGTCTACACTCACGGCTTCCTGCGCCAGAAATATGCATATGAGATTAAGCGTTGAATGTCGCCGAGCCTCATTTGCATACCTAATGAGCCACCATTTTTTGCAGAAGAGGCTCTTGCGTCAGAAGGAGCTGTCTACACTGTCCCTTCTTGCGGAAGAAAAACCCTATTGCGCAATGCCGTTATGCCGATTATTTTCAGGAATAACGGCATTGCGCAGCAGAGTTTTTTTTGCTCAAGAAGGGGCAGAATAGACAGCTCCTTCTGGCGCAAGAGACTGTTCTGCAAAATGGCGGCTCATTAGGTATGCAAATGAGGCTCGGTGATATTCCACGTTTAGCCTCATTTGCATATTTCTGGCACAAGAAGCCATGTGTGTAGACATAGATTTAGAGACCAAAACAGATACCCCTCTGAGACTTTTCACCAGCTTTTATCCTTTGACAGCTCAACCCAGTTGAAAAATAATTAGCCAGTGAAAGGAGACTGCCTGTCCTGAGTGCACCAGCTGGGTCTTACTATTACAGCTTTCAGATATCAATTAGATAAAAGATGCTTCCCTTACTCACTCCTTGTTCAGCATTCCTATATGCAGGAATCATCTTATCAAGTAGGCAGTTAACTAGCAATATATACAGGCAGTCCCCGGGTTACCTACAAGATAGGGACTGTAGGTTTGTTCTTAAGTTGAATTTGTATGTAAGTCGGAACTGGTACATATTGTAGGGGAAACTCTAGCCAAACATTTCTCCAGAGCTCAGTTTTATTCTCCCACACCTCACTTCCCTCAGTCCTTTATTCTCAAGCTGAGGTGTCTGCTGAGAAAAGCCGCTCCACCTCTCCCTGGTCTGCTGGGCGGGGGGAGGGGGACGCGCTAGCTTCGCATCTCCCTAGTCTGCTGGGGGGAAGTAGCTAGTGCGGGGGTGCCTCACCCCGGTTGTAAGTAGGGATCCGATGTAAGTCGGATCCATGTAACCCGGGAACTGCCTGTATTGCTTCTTTCACGCTGACAGGCATGAATACAAATATTAAGGCAAGACTACACAACACACAGGCCCCATTTAAGTTAGTTCTGCTGAGATTAATAAAATACAATATTTACCCCATTTACAGCCATATGACAGCACTTTTAATGAGCAATGACAGTCCACGAATTTAACTACAGCCTCTTCCCGACTTACGAACCAGTTACGGACCAAGCAATTGGTCATAACTCCGTTCGTTCTTAAGTCGGACCCCATAGAGTTACACGCGACCGTGCTGTTCGTAAGCATGAATCGCGTTTGTAACTCGGGGTCCGCCGTTTACGACAGCTTTGGTCAGAACTGTGAACAGTCGTAAGTCGACCGTTTGCAATTCAAGGACCGGCTGTACTAAAACGTATATCAACAGAAGACCATGGGGGGGCTCCCCCCCCCCCAGCAGACCAGGGAGACGCGGAGCAGCTTTTCTCGCCCCGGAGGACGCGGGCGGCGGGACCGCAGCGCATCTGGGCATTCCGCCACTCCAGTCCTCCAGGGCGAGAAAAGCCCCATTCGGAACTGCGGATCCGACATAAGTCGGTTCTGCGTAACTCGGGGGCTGCCTGTATGTACATACAACAATGTAAGGAAACAATTGCAATACAGCCTTTGGACTGGATTTCACAACTATCTATATGAGGAAATACTGGAACAAAATATTAATGAACAAGTATTTCTTAATGCTCAAACAGTTCTATTGAATTTAAAGATTTGATTTTTAGAGTATTTTCCTTTCTTTCTGCAGATGCATTATTTTCTGGGGAGAAGTTCAGATCTGTCATTTCCAAAAATTTGTAATATATTTTTGCGGTAAGTTGAAGATACATATTATGTCATGTCACAGCTAAAGTAGGAGAACCATGGGGATGTTTATATAAAAAAAAGGTTGTTAATATAACCATTGAAATACTTAGTGGCTACTTTGTTACACTCTGGTACAAAACAATATTACAGAGCCTGCAGTGCAGCTGGCTCCCCAGGAGTGGGACCCGCAGCCACGAACCAGTGTGCGATGGGAGCTGGCTCATTCCAGCCCACTTCTGGAGAGCTGGCTGCCCGCCCCATACTTCAGGCTCTGATACCGAGCCCACAGCGTGGGGCAGCAGCTGACTCCCTGGGCTTGGGGCTGGGAGCTGGTGCATGCCAGAACCAGTTTATGTGCACCAGTGGCCAGCTCCACTCTTGGAGTGCTAGCTGCCAGCTCCACATTGCAGGCTCTGATACAGAGTAAGGATGTTAAGGACTAATTGACTATCTGATAATCAAATGCTTTTATCGGATAGTCGAGTCGACTAGTCAATTCCCTCCCCTCCCCTCCCCTTCCCTCCCCTCCGCTTCCCTCTCCCTGCTGCCTCTATCAGATACTTCAAAAGTGGCACTTCAAGGTGGCAGTGCCGCATGGAGCCTGTACCGAGCACCATGGCGGCATTTCAAAGGGGCATGACTGCATAGAGCCTGGGGTCAGCTGGGAACGCCCTAGCTGAGCTCAGGTTCCAGCAAAATATTTCAAATCACGCAGAGCCCAGGGTCAGCTGGGGAGTCCCCAGCTGACCTCGGGTTCTGGGGAAATGCCGTGCGGAACCCAGGGTCAGCTGGGAGCTGACCCTGGGCTCCACATGGCATTTCAAATCTGCAGCATAGCATGGAGCCTGTGGTCAGCAAGGGTATGTCTACACTACCCCCCTAGTTCAAACTAGAAGGGGTAATGTAGTCATACGGAGTTGCAAATGAAGCCCGGGATTTGAATTTCCTGGGCTTCATTTGCATAAAGCCGGCCGGCGCCATTTTTAAATGCCAGCTAGGTTGGACCCCGTGCCACGGGG